GCCCTTCAAGTGGAGCTGAGGCAGCTGATGAGGACAGCAATGACTCCCCAGCCTCTTCCAGCTCCTCCCGACCTCTCAGAGTTCGTATCAAAACTATTAAAACATCCTGTGGCAATATCACAAGAACAGTGACACGCGTCCCTTCAGACCCTGATCCCCTTCCTGCTGCTGTCCCCCCAACTGAAGGTGCCCTCCCGGCTGAGGCTGGCCTCCCCAAGGTCCCCGAGAGCCCCAAAGTGGTGAGTGTCCAGCTAGGGGATGGCACCAGGCTCAAGGGCACAGTGCTTCCAGTAGCTACCATCCAGAACGCCAGCACTGCTATGCTGATGGCAGCCAATGTGGCCCGTAAGGCCGTGGTCCTGCCTGCTTCGGCCCCCCCCAAGGCTGTGGCCAAAAATGCACTTGGCTTGTCACCCCAGACCCTGCCCAAATCTGAGGGGAGGGTGGCATCGGGGAGCGGGGGCCAGAAGGTCAACGGTGCCTCTGTGGTGATGGTGCAGCCCTCGAGGCCCACAGGGGCCGGGGGCACGGTGATCTCTCGGACCCAGTCTGGGCTGGTGGAGGCTTTCAACAAGGTCCTCAACAGCAAGAACTTGCTGCCAGCATATCGACCCAATCTGTGCCCACCGGCAGAGGCGGGGCTGGCTCTGCCTCCTTCTGGGTATCGCTGCCTAGAATGTGGGGACGCCTTCTCCTTGGAGAAGAGCCTGGCCAGACACTATGACCGCCGCAGCATGCGGATTGAGGTCACCTGCAACCACTGTGCCCGCCGCCTCGTCTTCTTCAACAAGTGCAGCCTGCTGCTGCATGCCCGCGAACACAAGGACAGAGGGCTGGTCATGCAGTGCTCCCATCTTGTCATGCGGCCTGTGGCTCTGGACCAGATGGTTGGACAGCCAGACATCACGCCTCTGGTGCCCGTGGCTGCGCCCCCCGTGGCTCCCCTGCCCCCACTTACTCCAGGCAAAGGGGAGGGGGCTACTGAGTCCCTGGTGTCACTGGAGTCGGCCGAGCTGCCGCCAGCCTCTGCTCCTACCTTTACTTACACCTGCTTTCGCTGCCTCGAGTGTAAGGAGCAGTGTCGAGACAAGGCCGGGATGGCCACTCACTTCCAGCAGGCCGGACCCCCTGCTCCCGGGGTTGCCAGCAACGTGAGTCAACCTTCTCCCAGGGAGAGGGAGCATGGACAGGAAATGGGGTGAGGGGACCGGTTGGTTCTGACTTGGCAGGGCTGGGAAAACGCTATGGGGAGGGGAGATTTTGAAGGACCGGGTCAAGACGCTAGATGGGAGGCCCAAGCCTGGTAGGGAGAAACTTCTGTAGCCTGGGATGTGGGCAGGGTTTTAGCATGATCTCTAGCGTGGGTAGTATTGCAGTCAGTGTTAACCTTGCAGTCTGGGGAAATCTCTGGTGCCCTCTGGATCACCTTCGCCCACCCTTTCCAGGTGTGTTCAACTTGTCCCATGATGCTTCCCAATCGCTGCAGTCTGAATGCCCACCAGCGCATGCACAGGAGCCGCCCCCCCCACGTCTGCCCTGAGTGTGGGGGAAACTTCTTGCTGGCCAGCTTCCAAGCCCACCTTCGGGAAACCTGTCTACACTTCTCCCGTCGTGTTGGATACAGGTGCCCACCGGCTCTCTGACTTCTGGCTGTCCCTACCTTGCCCTCTGAAGGCCTCTGGGAAAGCTTGCTGGAGCTTCTGTTGGCTGTAGCGGCAGCCCCTTCCCTGTCCCTCAGTTTCCTGTGGATATGTGGAGAGGGTCCTTCTGGAGGCTTCCCTGGCCCAGTCCTCGTCCCAGACCTGTGCCCTCTGCCCACTTAGAATTCCTTCTCCAGCCCGTGGCCCTCCTGCCACTTCTTTTCTCCTCCTCCTTATGTTCTCACACTCCTGTCTCTCTCTTAGTACTAGTACTCTCCTAGAGGACCAGATTCCTTTTCCCTCAGAATCCAGATTGCATAGGAGCCTGAAAATGGTACTGTGGGCCAGAGATGCCGGAGGGTTTGGGATGTACCCTGCCCCCCACTGCTCACCATGGCCCTTTCCCCCAGGTGCCCAAGCTGTTCAGTGGTGTTTGGTGGGGTGAACTCCATCAAGTCCCACATCCAGACATCACACTGCGAAGTTTTCCACAAGTGCCCCATCTGTCCCATGGCTTTCAAGTCTGCACCCAGTGCTCATGCACACCTCTACACCCAGCACCCTGGCTTCAGCGCCCAGGAAGCCAAGTGAGACCCCAGGGAGCTGGAAGTTTGGAGGGTGGGAGGAAGAGAGAGGCGCCAACCCCCAGGGAGGAGCCTCGGTCCCATCCTGACCTCTCCCTGCCCCTCCCCCCTCCGTAGGCTGATCTACAAGTGCGCCATGTGTGACACGGTCTTCACCCACAAGCCTCTCCTCTCCTCACACTTTGACCAGCATCTGCTGCCCCAGCGTGTCAGTGTCTTCAAGTGCCCCTCCTGCCCCTTACTTTTTGCTCAGAAGAGGACCATGTTGGAACATCTCAAGGTGGCCTTGGGCACTCTAGTTGAACCCCTTGAGAAGGGCTGGGGGGGGGTGAGGCTGGAATTGTAGGGGGGTGGGAGACTCCATGCTGAAATATGTCTGGGGATGGAACATTTAGGAAATGGGGGTTGTGGGAAAATGAAGGGAGGGGGGTAAGCCATAGAGAAGCTCCTCTTCCCCTCCCATCCCACTCATGGTGACTACCCTCCCTTCTCTCCCTCCCACAGAACAGCCATCAGGCTGGGCGGCTGGGAGAGGAAGCTGGGGGGAAAGGGACTGGGGGTACCCTGCTCACCCCTAAGCCTGAACCTGAGGAATTGGCTCTGTCTCGGGGTAGGGCAGGCCCTCCCACGGAGGAGTCGTCTTCCTCTTCAGAAGAAGAGGAACCCCCTAGTTCCCCTGAGCCCCCCCAACCAGCTAAGAGGTCCCAACGTGAACCGCGGGGCAACAGGGGCAGCAGGGGACGGGGTGGGGGGCTTGGGGGCTGGACCTGCGGCCTGTGCCACTCCTGGTTTCCTGAACAAGACGAGTATGTGGCCCACATGAAGAAGGAACATGGCAAGGTGAGGGGGCAGTGGCACCTGGGAGGCCTGGGCTAGAAGAGGTGGTGGTGGGGAAGATGAATTGGGGTGGGGTGGCCCCAATTGCTAATGAAAAGGTGGATGGCGCAACCCCTGGAGCTTCATCCACACTGGGGTCTCTCACCCTGACCGCCCCTCTCCTTCCACCTCTCTCCAGTCAGTGAAAAAGTTTCCATGCAGACTTTGTGAGCGTTCCTTTTGCTCTGCCCCCAGCCTGAGGCGCCATGTCAGGGTCAACCACGAGGGCATCAAGCGTGTCTACCCCTGCAGGTAACTGCCTCGTCGTCCAGCAGTGAGCTCCCTGTGCCTCCCTTTTCCCCTCGCAGGAGATCCCACGTGGGTCCCCTCGCTCTGTCCACCCAGGTACTGCACAGAGGGAAAGCGCACTTTCAGTAGCCGGCTGATCTTGGAGAAGCACGTCCAAGTCCGACACAGGCTGCGGCTGGGCGCCCAGTCCCCGAGTCTGGCGGCTGGGCTTGCACGGGGTGGTGCCCAGGTACTGAGGGGTTAGTCAGAGGGTGGGCTGAACCCCCAGGTCCTGGGAGATGGGATCCAACATGTGAGGGCGAGGATGGAGATGGGCTAGGTGGACAGATGAGGGAAGGGCACCCAGAAATGGCCTGGAGCTAGCCTGAAGAGGTGTGTGGTCACTCTTCCCACTGACCTGTTTCCCTGGCTCCTCCAGGGTTCTGGGCGTAAGCGCCGCCCATCCTCAGACTCCTGCAGTGAGGAGCCAGACAGCACCACGCCACCAGCCAAGCCCCTCCGCGCAGGACCTGGGGCCAGTGGCCGGATGTCCTCGCGCTACCGGACCGTGACTGGGGCTGAACAGGGTCATACGGGAGGGCTTCGGGGTGATGATGGGGCCTCCCAATGTCGGGACTGTGGCCTCTGCTTTGCGTCGCCCAGCTCCCTCAGCAGACATCGCTTCATCAGCCATAAGAAGAGACGATGTGGAGGGCTTACTGGTGGGGGAGTCGGGGCTGTGGAGGAGGCGCCTCCCCAGTCAGGGCTGGAGCCTGAAGGGGGAGACTCGCCCCTGCCTGCTTCAGGGGGTCCTCTGGCCTGTAAAGTCTGTGGCAAAGGCTTTGATAGCCCACTCAACCTCAAGACACATTTTCGAACCCACGGCATGGCGTTCATCCGTGCTCGGCAGGGAGGCAATGGAGACAGCTAGGTCACACCCCCTGCAGGAAGCAGAGGGGGCCCTGGAGCTTTAGGGGTGGTTCGGATGGAACCAGGGGTTCCCCTGCTGCTGTTTCCTTCATGCCCAGGTGGGAAGGGAATCCCATTCCCCGCCCCCCCCTTCATAAGGGACTGTAGTCATTCCTATCTCCCTTGCCCCATATTGGGTTTGGCACCTGGGTCCTAGATAGGACCTTTTCTTTTCCCATTTTCCAGCCCAACACTAATCATCACCCCTTCAGGCCATTAGTGTAGTTGGGGGTTGGGGAGGGTTGGTTTTGGAGGTGTACCTGGTATCCCAAGGCCCGGGGATGGATGATGACCATACAGATACTCCTAACCTTTCTTCCTAACCCCAATCTTAGGCACCAGGAGAGGTGACCCTCCCCCCCTCCTCTGGGCCTGCCCCCAGCCCCCACAGTGCCTTTCACTTCTCTTTTTTCAGAAACTCCACGGGAGGCTGGTGGGGACCAGGGAGGGAAGAAGGGGTAGGTACTCAGGAATCCTTTATTCTTGTAGTAATAAGAATAATTAATAATATTAACAATGAGAAGGGAGGGGAGCACTCAGCCCATTAAAACTGCTAGTGGTTTAATCCTGATTCCAGCGTCTGCTTTATGCGCCTTGGGCTTGGCAGGGAGGGGACAGGGCTTCTTGGGGGCCTTCAACCCAGTGTTGTCTTGGATGCCCCAGTTGCTTTTTGTACTCCAACCAAGTTCAGTGAGAACACAGGTGGCTAACTAAGGACTTTATTTCAAACCAAAAAAAATAAAATAAAAAATGGAGAGCATTTTCCCTAGGCCAGAGGGAGTAGGGTCAGAACGGACACAGGTATCCCCACCCCACTGGGCTTGGGGCAGAACAGGGACTGGACCCACATGATATGGAAGGAGGCCTGACTGATGGCCTTCCCCTGCTTCTATGATGGGGGGCACTGGAAGTGGAGGGGCCAGAACCAGATCCCCCTTAAGTAGGGGGAACACCAGGTGCGTGCTGTGACCCCTCCCCTCCAGGGACAGGGTGTGGAGGTGGGGGAGAGGCCAGTGGGGCAATGGTATGGCTAGTCCCCAAGTTCCAAAAATCTCCCTTTCCCTCTCCCTGTGGCCCAGAACAGATTGGAGGAGGGCAAGGAAAAGTCCCCTTTCCCCCAAACTCATGTCCATGGGGGCAGTGACTCCTGGAGCCTGTCAGGTGGTAATACTGTCATAGAAAGGGGTTTCTCCCCACACACTCCTTTCACCCCAGGGGCAAGCTCTCTCCTCGTTACCACATGATCCTGGCTGGCACTCTCGCCATTCTTCCCTTGGGTGGACACTGACCCTCCCAGGGAGTCTCCCATCGTCCCTCCCACTGCTCCCTGGGCTGGTGGAGGGCCATCACATGATGCCATTGGTGAGGTACTGGAAGCCGTCATAGAGCTTGGTGGTGATAGAGCGCATGCTGCCATCCACCATCTGCTCCACCAGCAGCTGCAGCTGCTCCTCAGTCATGCTCATGTGGAAGCGCTCCTTCAGGTTGCGGATGGTGCTGGAGCCGTGGAAGCAGGGCAGCTGGGAGCCTGGGGAGGGAGGGGGGGGGTCATCACACCTGCAGCACCTACAGGTACAGTGGCTTCTGAGCCCAGTCAGCACCCCCTCCCCGGTTCTGTTCTGTCCTTCCTGAGAGTCTGTGGCTGCCAGCCCCAACAGCCCTGACATAGTTCCAGTGCAATTCTGCTGGGCAGAGGGGGAGAAGGGAAGAGCTGGGGAAGACCTGCCCCAGGCATCCTCATTCTGTGGGGGAGGGGGGGAGGGGCAGGGGATGGGAGAGGGAGAGACAGAAGGGTCCTGGGGCTATAACGAGGAGCCAGGCAAGGAATGCTGGGCACAAGCACTGATCTGGGCACTTATCTGGCTGCAGTCTCTGCCTATGCTATGTGACACTCACAGATGACCTGGGCCACCATCATTATGGGGCTGGGTGGGGATTCTCCTGAGCAACGTCGCAACCTGTGGGGTGGGGCCAGGGGTGGCCCAATTGAATATTGATGGGGAAGATGTGAGCAAACAGGGAAAGGAGAACTTGAAAAGGCAGGTTCAGGCAGAGAATGAAAGCCCAGGTTAAAGATGGGAAAGAAAGGAAAAGGGTGAAGGGAGAAGGCCTAACTCTGAGCCAGGGTGCATGGTGAGTGGGACTGGGGAAGATGAAATGGGACTGCTGACTTTCAAGGAAGATGGGGCAGAGACTATGACTAGGTGAGAAGCAGTGGGCTGCTAAGTAGGAGGAGTGAAAGGCTCCAGGAAGAGGCAGAGCCTGGGAGATCCAGGGCTGCCCAAGGGTGGGGAGAGGGGTGGAAGCAGTAATGGCTTGTGGGGGTGATTCAGGCTCCTGCACACAGCAGGGCAGGCCCCCACCTTGCTGCATGATCTCCACAATCTGTACCACCTTGTCCATGTGTTTTCGGGCAGCGATGAGCCCCTGCAGCATCAGCATCTTGTAGTAGTTAAACATATCACCGTCCAGCCCTCCCATCACCTGGAGAATGGAAGGTAAGTGGGAAGGGCAGCTCTGACCTTCCCCAGTCCCTCTCCACTCTCCCTCCCTGAGCCAGAGCCCACAGCCTCACTTCTGGTGAGGACCCTCCAGCCTCCTTGTTAGCATGGCCATCTCATGCCACTTTACAGAACCCCCACGTTCACCCTCCCCTGGCAGGGAGCTTGAGGGAGACAGCTTTGTCACTCACATCCACAAACTCTGTGGTCAGCTTAAACGCAGAAGTCTCAAAGCCCAGGTTGCGAGGGGAGCTGGACAGGATGAAGCCGAAGTCAATGTGGATGATGTGCCCGTCAGCATCTAGAAGGATATTCCCATTGTGCCTGATGAGGAGATAAAGATGGGCCTTAAGGCAGCGGGTCGGTATGGCCTCAACTACTGCCCCCCAGATTATAATGTATTGGCCAAAAAGTGTTCTGCAGAGCCGGCTCCTAGCTGTCTTCATCTGTCTGCTGGGCTCTCAGACAACCAGCAGAGACCATTCAATGAGGACAAAAACGGGAGCAGAGGCTGCAGCGTCCAAAACTGCTATAATGAGGATGAGAAAACTAACACCTCCCTTATTTAGCAATAACCATCTGGAACACAACCGTTAAGTCAGAACAGTCTCTGAACCTCAAGACTGACTGACACAAAGACCACAGGCAGGTCAGGCAAAGTCTCAGTGAACAATTTTTCACTTAATCCATACTTTTTTTCCCCCAAGGTAATCAGGGTTAAGTGACTTCCCCAGAGTCACAAAGCTAGTGAGTATGGTGTCTGAGGCCACATTCGAACTCAGGTTCTCTTGACTCCACACCTGGTGTTCTATCCACCGTGCCACCTAGCTGCTCCTAATCCATACTTTTTAATGAACTTCCTGGTTGGGTTTACCAGCCCATAGCAAATAAACAGCAGCAAACTGTGTGAGGGGCGAGGAGCAGCCAGAAGCAGGAACATTGAGAACAGAAAGAAGTGTTTACATTCAGTTTTTAAAAAATAACGAGATAAACTGCAAAGAGAAAACGAATTAATGTGGAATACCTTACACCTAGAAGTCACATTACCTGGGGGGGGGGAGAATATGAATTAGAGAGAAATTCCAGGTCTTAATGACTTCCAAATGAAATGCCTGCAAAGGAGCCAAAGCCTCCTGAAAGTAGGGAATGCCAGGAGCTATTCAGCATAACACTGCCCAGCCAAGGCGGCCAAGGCAGGGCCTTTGTTAAGTAAAATGCTCTTATTCAAGAAGGCTGGGGGGGGGGGGCGGCCGGCCAGAGGGGTAACTGTTCTCCTTTCTCTCTTTTCCAATCAATCACCAGAGCACTAAAGGAAGCAGAGCTAGAATTAGGAAAAGATAAAAGTTTTGTGCGGAGAATCTTATTCTGATTTAGTTCCATGCTCATTAAACCATTACAGGTTGGTACCTTTATAATATTGCTTTTCCTGTTATACAGCTTTTATTTTATCTATCTTATAATACAGCTTTTCTGTTCTTTCCTATGTCTGGTTCTATAAATTGACTCCAACTCACCTCTTCTACCATAGATCATTTTTTAAAAAAAAAGGTTCCACAGACTACTGGCTGCTGTTAAGATTGCCTTATTCAACAATGGAACCTCCCTCATTCTCAGAACCAGAAGGGCAGATAGCCATCCCTTTGCTTGGTCTTATTGTGGTTGCGCTTCAGGAAACTGGATTCAAAATCCTATCCTCGGCCTTAGAAAAGGATTTCTAGCAAAAACAGCCCCCTCCCCCCCTACACCTGGTATGCTGTTTGCATGGCTTTGCTGCTTTGAAAGTTAAGTTTTTGTGGAGCACACCTCTCCACTTCCGTCTCCTCCAGAGCTCTGGGAAGCCAGGCTCTGTTTCCTTTTCCTAAACCACGGACAAACAGTTTCAGACTCCATGTTAAGACAAGGGTCCTACTTATTCAACACTGAGCACAACCTGTAAGAATGCAGCTGCATCCTGGATGTGTGATCACAAGCAGAGATGGGGTGATATCCTGGCCAGGGCTGGGGGACATAGGTATATGCGAGGGGTTGGGGCTGGGGCCTGGAGGGCCAGGCAAGATGAGGACCTGGGGAGTCAGTCACCCACCTGTCTTTGACCTGAAGCAGGTAGCAGACAAGACAGTAGCCAGCACAGCTCTGTACAAAATTGCGCTGGGCGCTGAGGAATGCCTCGGTGGTATAGCTGCCATGCTCCTGCAAGAAGTAATCGAGCAGGGAGAGCTGCGACTGCTTCTTCACCTGATGGATGGACACAGCATTGACCACAGGCTCTATCATGCCGCTGTCCGCAGAAATCACAAGGATCTTGTAGGGCTTGATCCAAAGGGGCACCCGTTCCTGCTCCCAAATGGACTGAGGGGAGAGACAAGGACACAGGAAGATCGCCGTCACCTCCCTCGTGGGGAAAAGATGGTAACGGGGCCAGAGAAGAGACCTGCATCCCTCCTTAGCCTTCTTTTCTCTGCCCATTGCCCTAACCAAGGTGGTCTTGGAACATCACGCACAAAATCTAAAGATCTTACTGGGGACTAAAAAGCATGGTAGGGGAGGTCTAGGAAAAAGAAGGGGAGAAGGATGGAGACACTAACACGGCAGCAGCATACCGGGAAGGAGAGACACGGGAATGGAGAAAGATGTTGGTCAGGTACAAAGGGAGGGAGTCCTATATGAAGAGTGAGGACCCTTCTAAACTCTTGGTGTGGAAGCAAGTAATGGCAGTAATGTAAATTTTTTTTTTAGGCAACTGGGATTAAGTGACTTGCCCAGGGTCACACAGCTAGTAAGTGGCAGTAACGTAATTTTAAGGAATGAGAAAGAAGAGAGGGCGGCAAGGTCTTAAACCCCAACCAGTTACAACTCATCTTCCCTTTCAACCAGGAGCCAAAAGACCATACAGACGCAGTGCCAAAAGTAACCAGGAGAGGTCCCCGGAGTCCCCTTCAAGTGCAACTACCCTCCATAGAGCAGCCCAGCCCGGATTCTCCATCCCAGAGCTGGCTTTTTTTCCTCACCTCCCCTTACCTGCAGTTGTTTCAACACCTGGAAGGCTAAGAGCTCCTGTCGCAGGTCATCCCCACACTTGACGATGACGGAGAGGAGCCGCCAGTTGGGGAGGTGGCCGTAGGGGGAGCCCTCTCGGATCCGCCTGTGGAGGAAGGAAGGAAGAGGAGAGGATGACCAGGAGGTCAGCACATCCACTGGCCACTTCCACCCGCCGCGCAGCCCTGGGGGGATGCAGGCAGGGCTGCTTGGTGTATACCTCTGTACAACAGGAACGTTGGTGGCACCTCAGAGAACAGCATACACTCACCTGACTTTCTCCTGCCAGGGCTCTTTGAGGGCAACCGCTGATGGGTCTTCTGGGTCCCGTTTAAAGGCAGTGGGGGTGTGGGCTAGCTGCTCTGAGAGGCGCCGCCTGGCAGAAGAGAAACCCATCACTCACCACATGTAAGGAGCTGACCTCTATGGGATGGACCCCAGCCCACTCCTGGGCCAGCCCCACCCAAAAAACCAGGACAGCACAAAATTTAGGACCAGGACATGATTAGAGACTGGTGTTGACACGAGGCAATACGAGTGAGAGAATGCAGTGAAAGTGGTCAATGGCCAGAGAGAGTGGCCCCCAGACTGGCAGGTCAGCTCTAAAAGAAGGAGAGGTCAAGGGAGAAAGGGCAGAGCTCTCGGGATGGTCATACCGGATATCTCCTGCCGCAATGAACACGGGTTCCTTGCTCTCTTGGCTGGTGATACTATCCACAGAGAACTGGGAGATGTTGTCACAGCTGTTAGCATGTACTTCGGGGAGCTGGGGGGAGCAGGGAGAGGCAGCCATAGTGAACAGAAGACCCCCTTCCCCTACTCTTTTTTCCCTTCTCTCTCACCCTGACCTCTGGGCAGGTGACCTGTGACGCCCTTCCAGACCCTGCTCCAGACTCCCTCATCAGTCCCACTGTGATCACCCCCTCCGTCTCTCTGGCAGTGGGGTCTAAACCACAGCAGGGACCTAAGGGACTCAACAATGGGCATCTTTTCTTCATATAAGTCTGGGAGATTGCTGAGGCCAGGGGTCCTACATCTTCCCTCTGAATTCTTAACAGCCTGGATGTGAAAGTTAAATGCGGTGATAACTGACTTACTTGTGCCCCTACTTTCTTCTCTACGTCTGGCATTCAAGGTCCTCCACGATCTGGACTCAGCCGACTTACTTATTAGTCAGCTCTTCCACTGCTCTCTTAGGCCAACAACGCGTCTGCCCTAGCCAGCCTCATTTTACTCATGGTCCCTGAACTCTCTGCACATCCTGACTTCCCTCCCTTTGTCCCCTGCAGTTCCCCTACTTGCAATGCCTTCTCCTCTTTTGGAATGTCACCAACACTGCCCAAAGCCCAAGCTCAAGTTTCACCTCTTCCTCATTCTGACACCATTTCTTGTTCATCAGTGGGAATTAATGCTGCCTTACTGGGTTGTCCATTCACTTTCAGGTGCGTGTGCGTGTCTCCTCATGGGATCATCAGCTTCTTGAGGGCAGGGGCTGGGTCTTGTTTATGTTTGTATCTCCCACAGTGCCTAGCCCAGTGTTCAGTACAGACATGGAAGACGCTCAACAAAAGGTTCCACGCTGTAGAGCAGGGATTGCGGCCTCGGAGGCTGCCTACTCTGCACCCACCCTGGCCCTGGTGTACAGGACTTCATGACTGCCCCTCTGGATTACTGCCAAGGCTCGCTTTCCCTCTCTCTAATCCATCCTTCACCCTGCTTCCAGACAGACGCCTTGATATGTTTATCTGGCCACATACCATTTACTCCTCTGCCCAAAACCATCCTGTTTACTGAGTCAAGTTCAGACTCTTTTGGCCTGGCAATCATGGCGCTGTTCCCCAGCGCAGCCTGACCTCCTTTGACACCCCGTAGGCAATCAGGACTGCTCACTTTCCCCAACCACATCCTGTACTTTGATGCTTTGTGACCTTTGTGACCTTCTGCTCATACTGTTCTCTTGGCCTGCAATACACTTTAAAGTCCAACTCAAATGCTGCCACCTTCTGCAGAAAGTCTTCCCTGAACACCAGGGAGTTGATCATGGCATCTCCTCCCTTTGATCTTCCACAGAATTCTCTTTGCAGCCCTCTGACATGTCATTTTATACTCTGATTTTATGTACACTCCATTTTGTGAGGTCTATGCAGGCAGGGCCTGCATCTTGTCTCAACGGTATACCTTGTCCAGCACTGTGTCCTGGGCTTTGAAGCTGCTTCAACAAAGTCTGCTGCTTGCAACTGGATTGATTCCCAGCCTTCCCTGACCCCCGGGCACCCTCGGATCACTTAGTCCTACTTTCTAAATCCATGTTGGATGGCTGCTTCCTATCCTTCTCAGAATACCTGTTTCCCTCTCGCCACTAGCCCAGAGCTGGACACACAGCAGATAACGCACGTGCTACTGAAGGACACGGATCCCCCGAGAGCCCTCACCTCCACCTGCAGCTCTCCTATGTCGTCCACAGACCAGGCTTCGTCATCGTTATCGTAATTGGGGACAGTGCTGAAGCTGCCTGCCCGCTGCTCGTGGGTGATGCCACATTCGGGAAGGTTTTCCACAGACCGAGTACTGCGGATCCGGTTTTCGGGGATCCTCGTTGGAACGCTGGTGGTGTCAAAGTTTTCACACTCAAGGACTTCCACGTAAATAAGATAGGGCGCCTAGAGGAAGAGAATGATGGTGTAAACCACCCGCTCCCCTGCTCTCTACTCCCCATCTGAAATTCTTCCCCAATGACTGTGCCACTCATCATCTCCCTGCCACTCTCAATACTAGAGGTTGATGGTGAGGCAGCATAGTGGAGTGGAAACAGTATTGGATTGGTCGTCATAAGACCTGGGTTCAAAACTTGGCTCTGCTACTTAGACCTGTGACTTTGAGTAAATCCCTTGGCCTTTGTGGGCCTCAATTTCCTCATCTGTAAAATGACTGAAGATTCCATATCTATCTCTCAATCCTATGATCTGGAAAAAGGAGCAGACAGTGAACTTTCAAGTTTGCCAATGTCATGAAATTCTCTAAGTTAACAAAAAGGCAAGCCACAGGGGATGGCCTTTAGGAAGAGTTCTTGTGGCTGTGTGAGAGGGCAGAGAAGTGGTTGGAGGAACCAGATGGTGGATTTAGGGGAAATTCATTCAAACTGAACTTGTGGATGACGAGTTGGACAAACACCCCTGAAGACACTGGCCTGGTGTGCGGCGGCACCCTCACATGCCCACAGAACAGCATTTGTCAGTAAGGGCGTGAGAAACAAAGCCAGCCAACTCCCTTGGAATCCTGTGAAGTAATTCTGATCCCTGAACCCCAGAGAAGGAGCGACTGAGGTGGGTAAAGGCGGGGGAGGGGCAACAAAATGATGCAAGAGACGGGCAGGAGGCTGCTGTGTGAGGAAATACTGAACAGACTACAACTCTTTAAGCCTGTAAACATGAAAGCTGGGAGGAGCAAGGTGAATTTAGGGAAAATAAAAATGCAACATTTGTTCAAAGGAGCAAATGGTAGAACCTCTGTTCTACACTTTATAGAACAGATACTAAATTTATAGAACTCATTACGCTGAAAAGTGACACTGGTTAAGAAATGAAACTGCCTCCCAAAAGGCTTAGAAAAATTGTTGGGTGGTAGGCACAATGGGCTATGAAGGAAATGGTGCTGTTCTGGTGACACCCCTAGCCTTCTGAGCTCAGTCAGAGGACACAGCATGCTCTATCTGGTGCCCTATCAAGAAACAGAATCTATTTTGGGGTGAGGGGACCTGCGGCCTCAAGGTCCAGATTCCATCAAAGGGCCCCACTTGAGGACTTAGAGGGTCATATGTGGCCTTGAGCCTGCAGGTTCCCCAGCCTTGATCTATGTGGAATAGCAGAAGGAGCACATGGCTGAGTCCTGGAAAGCTCAGGTCCTGCCAACAACTTTGCTAGTAATTTGCTATGTGAGCTTGGACAAATCACTTCAACTTTCCCCAGCCTCCGCTTAGCTCTTGCTAAACTGAGATTAAAACTATCTATCCTCCCTACCTTCCAAACTTTTTGACATTCAAGTAAGAAAATGCACGTGAACTATGTTGCAGCAGCACAAAGAACTATGCAAATTTATGGTGCCACATCAGTAAGGATATTAGTAAATGGCTGGACGTGGCGATGCAGCAGTTCTTACTGGCATGCTCCTTCTATCATGGCCCCTGCTCCCCCTTCCCCAAGCCCGCCTCTGTAAGCTTCCCAACTGGAACACTGAAGTTCCTCACCAACACAAACAGGAGGAGAAAGGAGAGGAGGGAAGGCCCTAGGTTTTATCTAAGCTCTACATGTGACTAGCAACCATGTTCTGGATGGTTGTTGAAAAAATGGAAGTGAGGTTGGTTTCTGGGCATCGGGGGACAAGTGGGAGCTTACCTACCTTATCCTTAGAGTTGAGGACGACTGCCTGGGTGTGGGGTACCCGAACCACGTGGTGGTCGAAGCCAGCAGTCGGCAGCCAGACTCGGGCAGGGAGCTTGTGATTGAGTAGGGACAGCTCAGAGATCAGCCTCTGGGTCTTCTGCTCCTTGGTGGGCAGCGTCGCCAGTCGCTTGCCAATCGCCATCAGAGATTTGATGAATTCCCGCTCAGGAGCCAGTCTGACCGGCTATGAAGTATCAGGGTAAGAGACAGGAGGGAGTTACAGAGCTGCCAGACATGCCCTGCACATCAAAGACCCTTTCGATCGACGCAGGCCAACAGTCCCTGGTGTTCAGGGAGCAGCAGGGTTTGGGGTATGGTTTTTGGCCCAATGGCAAGACCGTTCCCATCAGCCCAGTGATCCCTGTGGAGGTTCTGAGAGACCAGAGGGAATGTCAGGCCCCTCCCTGTTTCAAGAGTCCTTAGGAGATAGCCCCAGGATGCAGTGTACAAAGAGAGGGTATGGTGAGAGGTGTCTGAGATTTTCCAGACCATCTTTTAGTGAGAAGTGCCTCTTTTTCACTAAGAATATCTCCTAATTCTGACTTACTGGGCTACCCGACTCTCTCAAACATCTGTGGAGGTGGCTGGAACCTACCAGCTCCCTTGGGGATTGGGATGAGGAGATTTTGGTGGATTTTCCTCAGTAAAAATCGTCACTCCCCCAAATCCCACCCCATGCTCTTGCAAATGTCACTCTTCCCTTCCCCTTCTCCCTCCCATCATTCCACATGCAAGCAATGAACATGCAGGGGTGGGAGGGAGCAGAATTTGTATAATGGGTGAAAAATCAAATGCAATAGCAGCTAAAGGGAGGACCAAGAAAGGGTAGGGAGAGGGGGCAGCCTCTCTCAGCCCCTGACCCAAGGGCTGAATTGTTACCTCACTCTCAATCCTCAAGGGAAACCCCATATTTTCTGAGATGCCCTCCCCTCTCCAGCTCTGATCTAGCAGCATGAACAGCACAGTCTCAAGCCAGCCAGTTCTGCCCATGTCCAGAAATGGCTCATTAACTATTTAAGAGGCTTTCTATACCCTGGTGTGGGATACTCTAGCCATCTCCTCCGAGAGACAGGGGTAGTCTGGGCAGGAAGAGACGGACGAGGCTAGACAGTGAAAAGGGGCTTCTTTAGCTTGGGCCCCCTCCACCAGGGGGAAGAGTTTTATCAAGACCACCAGCTCACGACATGCTCAGTGCTTGGCACAAGCAGACATTTAATAAATATCTATTGACTGATTTCATTCACTATCAATAGGCCACTCCTTCACATGAATAACATTTCACTCACCAGGCCTTTTTTCTCATGATTATTTTCCCTAAATGAGAATTTCAAACTTTCTACTGCAAGACTGATTTTTTTGGGAAAGCCATATGGGACAGGCCCTGCCTCTGCATATCCAACAAGACTAGGAGATACAGAAGGAATTCTCAGGAATCCCAGTCAAGAACTAAACAGTTCTTTTCGTGAATTTAGAATGTTGAACATGAGGAATAAAACAGAGTGTGGGGGATTCTAGTTCTCAGAAGACACCCCCAAATGTCCAATGAGGGAAGCAGGATGAAAGGAAGAATGAATGTAGAAATTGCCGCTGACTCTGACCCCTCTGATGTGGTCACTCAAGTGAAAGCCTAGCCCTACCTTGGACTTTGTGTTCATAGCAGTCATCTCAGGAAAGAGGGTGGGACTCTTCCTGATCCTCAAATCAGGAGAATAACCCAAACTAGCTGATTAGGTGGTATATGTCACCTCATAGGGGAGACAGGAATCATGATTGAGAAAGGAAAGGCACAGAACATAGAAAACTGATTGGGGAGACAGTAAAAAATCAAAATGCAAAAAAAAAAAATCATCCCAATCCCCCGAGGGCCCAGCATTTCCTCTCACGTCTCTGGCCAGAGGCAGGGTCTTTGATCCTGTACACCTCTTGGGATAGGGAATGCACTGGAGCTTCAACCAAAGGGACTTTATGGCAAGACAGATGAGGCAAGGAAGATGAAGACTAAGAAACATTCTTACTAATAAACTGGGAAAACAGGGGTACTTGGGTCTAGAAGAAATGAGGCTGAAGCTGAGAAATAGTCTGTGGGCAAGTAAACATTTCTTTTCAAGCCAAGTCCTCGTATGTCCTAGGTGCTCACTGGTGAGCCCCAGGTAACAAGGAAGGAGATAAGATGGGGGGTGGGGGTGAGGAAGAAGAGTCCTTTTCAGGGCACACATTTCTACTCCTGGAGCTAGCTCCAATGGCCGATTCTCACCAATACCTCTCGGGTGCTTGTTCCAGAGACCTGGGATGGGTAAAAAGGACAGTTCCCCTGCTCTCACTGACCTCGGGGAGAAAAAAAAGAACTGGACCTGATTCAGCTAGGGCTCAGGACAAATGGCAGCATGGGGAAAGGTAGATCCTCTCGGTCAGGAGGGCCAGTGAGGGGCTGAGACCCCTGGAGGCCTGTAAAAGTCGGCCTTGGCATTTGGGCAAAGGTGAAAGTACTAAAAAGAGATCTGGGGACGGAGAGGAAATGCTGCCATGGGCGGACATGGGGAGTCAGCCACCCAGCCCCAGCCTGGCCCTACTTACGGAACTGAATGATTTATCAACACTCTCGGTACTGGAGGAGAGTTCCTGGGAAAGGGGCTGGGAGGGCAAGGGGAGAGAGGGGGAGGGGGAGGGGGAAGGGAGAGAGAAAAAGGCAAAGAATTTAGCTCCCAGTTTCATTACAACCACTTCTCTTTCACATCTCTATTATATCTTTCTTTAAATAATTAAACCCGGTTATGGAGTTTGACCCTAACACTATCATTATTCAGAAATGACGAGACAGGTTCAGACACTAGAAGAGTCAGTGGGAGGGACAAAGGACCAACATGGTTTGTGGGAGAGCAGTATGTCTCTCTGCTGTTCCATTTTTTTCCCCCTTTAATTCTCACTTATTCTGCCCTTATTTCAAAGGAAAAATCCAGCTCTGAGTCCCAGAAGTGGGCAGCTTTCCTCAGTCTAACACTCTCAGTCAAGGCCCCAAGGCTGAGTGGTTTCTGAAGTGCCAGCTCCTAATTTAGGTCAGGTTTACAAGATATATGGTCCTCAAACTGGGGACCTCCAGTTCCACCAGTCTTGGGGGATACAGTGAAGAAAAAGAGCTGAGTTTAGAAGTTGATGGATGAATCAGAAACCTCTAATTCCACATCACATTACAAGTTCCATACCACAGCCATCATGTCCTCTCCAGTCTGCTGAGCACTAAGTCATAGTTATTACCCCCGGCACTGAGTAGATACATCTGTTGCCTGAATTTTGCTCCTAGCTACAAGATGCAGCTTGAAACTAAGTCTGAGACAGGCTGTATCTTTCCCAGCTCTGGGGATCTCTAAGGAGGTCCCTTTATGGCTCAGTCAGAATCAGGCTTGCAGAGGAGGGGCTACTCATGGCTCCTTTTTCACAAAGCCCCAGTGGCCCTCAGAACAGCGCCCATCTTATGGCTCACATGATGAGGTCTTCCAGAGCTTTGGAAAGGGGGAAGAGGCAAAGACTGCCTGGGCTCCAGGGATAGAGTTCTGCTTCCTCCCTCCTCTGTAAAGACTAAGGAGTAGTCACTTAGAAGTCTTAATTTCTACTCGAATATTTAACCCAATGAATTCTACTTGAGTATTTAATTGCCCCATTCTAACTTGAAGACTGTCCCAACTCTTTCCTCTGAGAACCCGAGGAGTGAAGAAGATAGGAGGCTGGGGAAGTCAGGGGGACATTTAGGGAAAGTGGGAAAGAGGGCATAGGGAAGTCAACCTTAGAAATCTCCCCTTTCCACAAACATTCTCTGGGCTGAGGGGAGGGCTGGGGAGGCAGTGAGACTGCCAAGGCCAGACCTGTGAGGCCTCCTTTTCTCAGCAGACAGAATGACTTTTACCACATACCTGGCACTGAGAATGGCCTGCCTTTGTATCTCCCCCATTCCTACTCTGTTTCAGGGACACCCTGTGGGGCAAGGTTGTTCTACCTGGTTATCGTGACTCCTCTACTCTCTGGGCCTTTGTTACTCACACTGAGTCAGCTCCAGGGAGCGGGGCTGGGCCAAGAGACTGACATCAGAACAATATCATGCTGGCAGGCTGGCTGGGGCTCCCAGTACGACATGGAACAGATTTCTCTGTACAAAGGTTGAGGTAGTCCCAAGAAAGCAAGACAAATCCACCAAAAATGTTGCTACTGTGGTGGTAGGGGAATCAATCTAGTTAGAAATGGGAAAGAAAATTGTCTGGTCATTAGCAGTTGAGCAAAGTTACTTAGCTGGGTTTCTCTGACCTGTCATGGTCTGTGGGTAGGAGATGAAGGAAGCCTAGTTCCAAGTCTCTCTCGGTTCCACTACTCCACCTTACATAATCTCTATTCAGATTAAAAGATGGATAGTGAAGATAAGGGAAGGATATCTGGTTAGAACTGAGCCAGCAAAATTTGGATAAACAGAAGGCAGAGAACTAGTCAGTAGGTAACCACTACCCCAGACAATGGGGCTTTGCATACTAATCCACAAGCTCCTTGGGCAAAGTGGACAGAGCACCAGGCCTTGAGTCAGGAAGATCTGAGTTCAAATCCAGCCTCAGCCACATAAAAATTGTGTAACCCTGAGCAAGTCATTTAACCCTATTTGCCTCAGTTTCCTCATCTGTAAAATTAGCTGGAGAAGGAAATGGCAAACCTCTCTAGCATCTTTGCCAAGAAAACCCCAAACAGGGTCACAAAGAGTTGGAGGCGACTGGAATGAATGAACACTAACCACCTCCTCTTGGTCTTCTGTGTTCTCCTCGCTGGCACAGTGCTGTGTATAGTAGATGCTTGACAAACGTGTGCTGAATAGGGAATGAATCAATAAATGATAAAGGAAAGGGAGGACAAAGGAGAGTTGGGCTGGGGCTGCGTCCCTTTCCCGCTTACTTTAAAATAGGAAGAGGAAAGGGGGAACCACTGTTCCTTTCCTTTAGATCTTGAAACGCTCCACGTTCCCCAAATGCACCTACAAGACAGTGCTGAGGGAACAGCATTCAGGTACTGAAGACTCCAGAGACCCATGAGATAAAGAGACCTTCTGCAGCAGCAGGTATCAGGGCTCTCTTTCTCTTTTACTCCCTGGATCACATTTCCCTCAGGGAAGGAATCAGATGTCTAATCCTTCTAGCATTTGATAACCAGTGAGGGTTTGGAGATCTGGTGTCCCCTCCCTTCTCCCAAGATATAGTGACCTTTGAGACAGAGAGCCAAGTCAGGAAAACGAGTTACCTGGAAGGCCTGGCCCAACTTCCCACAACTCTGGCCTGGAGAGTACCAGCAAGAAAAAGGGCACCACCTATAGCCGTCGCCTAAGGAAAGCACCAAGGTTAAGACAGGAGCTATACTGCTAAGTCCAGGCCTATACAGTGGCCCCCTGGGGTCTGTACACGGTTTTTGGGAAGATCACCTAAGAACATGGAGAGTCCTAAAACCTGTATCTGGTTTTGAACTCTCTGGGGTCAAGGGGACTGAAGTCTAGCTGGCTCTCCTTAGTTCTACAGCCATGGTCACCTGATCAAGTCAATACTATAGCTGCTTTCGGAAAGAGCTTAGCAGCCAATTTCCATATGGTTTAGCCCACCATATTTGTGACTCCTCAGAGGGAAAAAAAAGCCCTTACCTAACTAGCACACTCCGTTTTGTATGGTCTCTACCTACTAGAATGCAGGAGTTCCTTGAGTGCAGAGACCATCCCCATGCCTTATGTGGTCTAGCAGCACCTGCCGCCTTGTAACAGATGCCCTCTAGCTCAGCATCCAACAAGGAAGGAAGCAGTTTCATCTTAGGAGAGAGTGGTCGTGGGGACGTAGATCCTGGGGGCAGCTTCTGTCCAAAGGCCACTCCCATGGCCAGGAAGGACAGGTGACAATCTCAGGAGGGAGTCTCTGGGAAATGATTCTGGACTAGAGTATATGAAATCACTCTGCCTCACTCCAGGTCAACAACCTGATCACATGATCAGGGACAAATTGGCCTACAAAGTCTAATTCCCAGAGACAGCAGGTTCCAGATCAGGTTTCGCAGCTCCCCTTCCTCCCTCCCCTTCCTCCCAACTCGGACAGGTTGAAAGGATCCTTACTGTATTAGAAACATGGGATATGGCACTTCCCCATGTGGGCAGATGCCAAGACCCCAGCCACATGGGGTTTCCAACAAGGGCCAATTCCTTAGTCTTTTTTCTCTTCCTTCCCAAACTGGGCTGGAGGCCAGTCTGGGAGCCTGGCCAGTGGTGAGTCAGTGGTGAACTGAGGCACCATTGTTTGGCTGGGACACCAGGTTACCAACAGTTGGCCGTCCACTGGGGTGGCTTCTCCTGCCATTTACCCAGCTGGGGAGTGGAAGATAGGTGTGGATTACTGATACAGGCACCTCATCTTTAGGCCACATACCTATCCCAATATTGTCTTCTCACAGCCTCCTTCTCCTGGCTGTCATGTCTCTGATCTTACACCAAGAGCTTCTGAGACCCACTCCCATCTAACTTGCTTATTTCATCCTGTTTTCTCTCAGAAGGAAAGGGAAATTGCAGGAAAGCCAGCTATTTCGTTCCCGCTTTATTACCTGAGAGCTAACAGATAGTAAGCACATTCTGATTGAATGCTGAAATAATAACAAATGAAATTTGCCCTTGAATCTACAAGGAGGGAAGGGAGTAATTGTGATGGCAGAAGGCCAGGAGAATGAGCTGATGCTCTATTAAACATCTTTCTACATTGCCTATGACATACACAATCCTTCGTTCTTTTCCTTTCCGAACAGACCCTGTCACTCCCTGGGGATCTGAAGCAGACAACCCAGACCTTAAGTGGAGGTGAGGTGGAATCCCTGCCACAAGAAGGTCATCCTCCACAATCCTGGACTTCAGGGTCTTCCTAGCAAGAAGTGACTGGGCTGAGAGCACAGTGGAGAGCGTAGGTGCCTGAGACTCAGGAGACCTGGTTTGCTCACTAACCAGCTGTGTGACCTTGGGCAAATTAGGAGATACTCAAGAGTTTCCATTTTCTTCATCTCTAAAATGAGGGAGCTAGATTAGATACTTTCTAATCTTTCAAGCCCTAAAATTCCATGCTCCTGGTTGAAATGGAAGATTTGAAGAAGGAAGAGGAGACGGGAAATCACACCCCCAGGCAGAAGCCTTAGCCCCATGCAGCCCTGCACGACACCGTTGGACCCAATCCTTGCATTTTACCTCCTCCTCGTTCTCCACTTTGGGGTTGCTGGCTGTGCGTTTCAAATTGCTGCTGAGGCTGATGCTGGCAGTGGCGTCCGATTTGGAGCGCTGGTGAGTCCTTTTGGAGGGGGACGAGCCTGTGTCAGGAGCTGGGCTCAGGGAGGGCAGGTCCCTCTTTCGATGAGCTGGTTTCAGCTCATCTGAAAGGATGAGCTTTCGGAGCTTGGTCCCGCGGGAGTGTCGCTGGGTGGAGATGTGCATGTCCGAAGAGTAGGCCCCGAGCAGCAGGGCACACTGGAGGGAAAAATTAATGCTCTGGCGGCAGCGGTGCACAATGTAGGGCTTGATGGCATCCCCCACGTCTTCATCCATGTGGATGTACATGTTTAGCAGCTGGGGCAGATAGAAGTCAACGTCTTCATTGCGAAAACAGAAGAGCCGATTGCCTATGTAAGCCTGAACCCCGGGCTCCTTGGAGTTGTACAGGTACGAGATGGCCATGGAGATGTCAAATAGCTTTGACTCAAACAGCCTCAGCAGCCACGACTGCTTGGCAGAGTTGTTCTGCCGCCGCCTCCTCGCCCCCTTAGCTGAACTGGAGGTCCCCACCTCATCCTCCTCTTGGATGCGGCTGGGTGACTCATCCAGGCAGCGAAGTTCAGTGCTGTCCCCATTGACAAGCTCAAAGGAGGGCCCCTCTGGGGAGCTAGTTGTACCCCCATGCAAAAGTTTTACTTTCTCCAACACCTCCTCACAAGCCTTTTGGGCCACCTCTGGGTCAATGACTGCCAGCTCCCCAACCCCTTCAGTGATGACACTGAGCAGGGCACCCCCATTATTTCCTGGTGGGCCTGGAGTGGGCTCTGAAGAGGCATTCAGCAGGGCTGGCTCCACTGCTGTGTCTCCCATGGCCACAGCCAGACACAGCACTTCCAAGCTATGGGGAAGGAGGGAAGGAAAAGGAAAAACATAAACCAATTAGTTTTTCTACCCTCAAGTTCCTACTGTCTTCCAACTCCCAACTACATGAAGTTCTCCCCAGAATCTGCTTTCCTTCCCTGAGCATTACTTGGTCGAATCTCATTACCTCCCTGATTATGGCCACCTCACACTCAAAATTTTACTTGGCTTTATGCACTTAGTATGCACTAGGTTCATAGTCTGAATTTGCTAACATGTTGCTCTGTAAATGGATTTAGTGTTTTCACACGTGTATGTACATTGTTTCCCTAAGTAGACTGTGTCCCCTCTAAAGTCTTACACCTTCCTGCTTGCTTATTATCTCTCCAAAGTTTATTCTCCTGTCTTCCTCATTTTCCCTCTTATGCCCCATCCCTCTGACAGTTCTTTAAACTTCAGATTTCTTAGCCTTGGCACATACCATGCTTTCACATACTCTGCCTGTAACAGATTGCCTTGGCCTCCAATTTCTCCCTACTTGTGACATTCCCTTTTTCCTTTAAGACCTAGTTCAAACACCACTTTCTCCATGAAGTCTTTCCTTATTCTTTCAAGAAAGAAATGATAAGGGGCAGCTAGGTGGCTTGAGTGGATAGAGCACCAGCCCTGAAGTCAGGAGGACCTGAGTTCAAATCTGGCCTCAGACCAAACACTTGACACTTATTAGCTGTGTGACCCTGGGCAAGTCACTTAACCCTAATTGCCTTAACAAAAAAAAAAAAACCCAACAACAAAAAAGAAAGAAATGATAGCTCTTCCTTTAAGATCCTCAAGCCACTGAACCTGACCTTTCCTATGCACTTAATCATTTTAAGATGTGTTTTACAGTTATTTCCATACAAGTTTTCACTTCCTCACCCGCACCCCTGATTTGATTATAAGCTGTTTGAGGGTAGAGACTTGTTAATCTTCAACTTTGTCACTACAGTAACTCAAGCAAATGCCTAATAAAGATTTGTGGAACTGCCATTAGTAGTTCTACCTTCTCTAGGAAGCTGTCTTCATTTATCACTTTTCCCACAATCCCTCATTAAGGTACAGACAGATTTCTATTGACTGCATGTGTATTCTTACCTGCCTGTTTAGACTGTAAACTCTCTCATGGCCATCAGAAACCATGCCAGGCCAGATTAAGAGAAAACCATACTATAATAATGATTCTCAGTCTTTGGCTTTCCACCATCCTATTGTTTGTTTGCTTTCATGACACCCTCCCCTATTCCTGAAGGAGATGGATGGCACATGTATGTTATTTTTTATTGAAATGGATGAGAATTTGGGATTGAGAAGCTTTCTTTTGAGATAACTAGTAATATTTTAGGGTGCCAAAAAATCTATTACTACCACTAGGGCTAAGAATCTTGGCTCTAGAACTTGGGGAGGGGGAGAGGAGGGATAAGATCCCCATAATCCAGACCTCTCTTCTGGAGAGATTCATGGGAAAAGTCTCAAGGAAAGAACACCAAAGAAGAAAGACAGCTCAGTTTACTGCTTGTTCTCTCTCTGATCCCCAAACAAAGTCATCTTTTAGACTTCTCTCCGAGTAGAGATACTGATTAGACCCTGTAGAAACTAGTGAACCACACAGTGATCCTACAGGATCAGGGGCAGGAGAGGCACACTGTTAATTCTAGATTAGCCAGGGCTTGGGCGTCTGGCTGCAGTTGGCAATGGCCACAAGCCCATGAACTGAATAAGACGACAGGACATTAAGAGAACACGGGCCAGTCAGAGGGCACTGGAGGATCAGAGCGAAGGTGAATTCCGAGTATCAGCAACAACTTTTAAACCCAGGCTTAGGCACATACATTTGGAGGGGCTGGGAGGTGGCTTAGACTGTCTAAGCAGTCATGCACACTCACTCCTCAGACAACGTAAAGAGTAAAAGGCAACCCTACCTGACTGAGGTTTTCTGGTCTACATCTCTGTGTCTACTGAGGCATCACTCAAGCTGTGTGAAACTCTTCAACCAATCAGAATTAGAGGGCATCTCAGGGCCCTCTAGTCTAGCCTATATCTGAAAAAGAATCTCTCTACAAAACAAACAACAAGGGGTCTTCTACCACTTACCAAGCAGTCCATTCCACTTTTGAAAGTTTTTAACTTCCACTTAATGATTTTTCTTTTGATGTCTAGGGCTAAAGAGAACAAATCTAACCTTTTCAAATTCTTGAATAAAACCCATTCCCTACCCTCCTTCCCTTCTGCAGGCTAAAAATCCCTAGTTTCTCTTAGAGATTTCCAAAGCTAAGCCCACAGTCTTCTTTGATTTCTTGTGACAGGCCCAAGGAATGTCCTAACCATAATCTTTCTGATGCCAGTTAATTCTGGTGGAGGCTAGGGGTGGCAGTTCTATTCTGCTCCCTCCCAAAGCTGCGCAGGGCCCCTAAGGGCCTTGCTTTCTGAGCAGTATAACCAGCACTACTACTTGTGTGGATCTGTCTCTACTCGTGCACATACAACATAAGCATAAGAAGAAAACCTCAATCTTTCTTCCCTACACCTCTGAAGGGTTCTCAGTCCTTTCTACTGTAACCCTGGTTCAGCTAGGACCACCTGCCTTGCCTCCTATATCATCACGGTATTCATTTGAGGTCAGAAAAGAAACTGATAGAGCAGTCAAGGGTTATTTATTCAGCACCATTATTCACATTGCTTTTCTCATAATCCTCCCACTTTTTTCTGCCTCATTGACTCTTTCAATCCCCTCCCAAACTTCCCCAGAACCCATCTTCTCCCCAAAACTTCTAGTTAAAGCGAGTTCCTTTTGTACCAAGCTTCAGATTTCACTCAGAGGCTTAGCAAATAGATGGCAGCTTAACCTCCTTAGTGGCTGGAAAGTGAGAAGAGGGGAAGGTATGAGCTTCAGGGCTTCATATGCCTCTCCTTATCCTCAATACAAGCCAGCCCTTCACCAGTTCCCAAGGGTCTTCCTTGCTGATAGCCGGTCTCTGTCTGGGAGCCTCTCCCTCCAACCCTTCCAGAATAGGCCTGCCAAGGGGTATGGAGCTAGACTCCTCACCACTGAGGCATGAAATATGATAATACTGAACCAGAGAAGGACTTCCTAAACTGGGTCTGGGGAGAGGTGTGGAGGGGTGGGTACGAAACCACCCTCCTAGTTTCTCTGGTACTCAAGGATCGTCAGGGTCTAGTTTTAAAGCTGGGGCTGAGAGGTTGGGAACAATGGAAGGGTTAGATGGGGAAAGACAGAGAAGGGAATATGTTCAGATTGTTTCAATTTTGGGGAATGTAAGGAGAGTAGGGGATTCTCTGGCCACCCAAGTCCAACATAGTCCCAAATATGGATTGTACTGGTTTCAAGGGATAAATTTTAAAATTAGGAGGTCTAGGGAGCAGTTTCATGGGGAAAAGACAACATCAAGGCAGTTAAGTGAAAGGACTAGGTCATCATGTCCTGAATCTACTCTCTGCCCCACCCCCCTCTACCAGAGGGGAAGAGAAAAAGGAAAAAAAACCAGTGAGGGAAGAAAATCCAGTTTGGTTTGCAATTTCTGTGGCTTTAAGGGTCATACCATCCCCATTCCTATCTGACCATTAAAGCCCAGACTGTCCTGCTTGGGGAAGCTCCTTAACTCAAACCTACTGGAGCCTGACATGACTTGAGAACTGGAGGGAAAAGGAAACTGGACAGGCCTTTGCTCCTCTGGCTATGCAACTGGCTAGGGGGTGGGAGCACTGACAACAGAACGTGGGCTCCACAACTCATGTCTGGGCAGCATCTGGTGAGCTGGGCTGACCACCCAGGGTTATTACAGGGCAAAGGGAAGACTGTGTACACGTGAAACAGAAGGAAGGTGCTTACACTCGCCTGGCATCTCTGTCCCTCACCTCCAAGGATCCAGAAGTCTTCTTACCCTCAGCTACCCTCCTACCCTCCTCCACTGATGCATTTACTGAGAGCCTGTCTGTGCCTAAAGCTGGGTTTACCAGAGCCTAAGACCAGCCTTCCCCATTTCCTCATCATGCCTCTCTTTAGTGGGAGAGTGGGAAGGGTGCTAGATTTCGATGCATGTTCTCTTGAGGCTCCTTGTTAGCTGTGTGACCTTGGGCAAATCACCTCTCCTTCCTGGGCCCACTTTCCTGATCTATAACATGTGGGTTGTTGGTTTAGATGGCCTCTAAGACAATTTCCAGTTCCAAATCAAGGAGCCCATGAACTAGATGATGAAGGCCTACTCTGGGCCAATGACAGCCTCCCTGCACCTGGTGATTCTGATTTACTTACTCTGAACAGGTTCTAATTCCCAGCAGAATGCTCATTCCTTAAAGGCAGGGGCTGTTTTGTTTCTGTATCCCCAAGTAGCACAGTGCTCTGCACACAGTAGGCTTTTATAAAGTTATTGCATTTTTCACTTTTGAACCTTTAAAAAGTCTTTAAATCCAGACCTCTGCCTCAAAACAGGTCACTTCCTTTGTCCTGCTTCCAGAACATCACCCATGAAAGACATACAACACTACTAGTGATTATTTGTTCCATTAATAGAAGGCAGGATGATACAGTGGAAAAAAACACTTGCTCTGGAGTCAGAAGACTTGGGTTCAAATCTGGTTTCTAGGGTCAAAGAGAACAAACCTAACTCTTTTCAAACCTTTGAATAAAACCAGTGTGTGCGCTCCATGCCTTTCCTTTCTGCAGGTCAACAATCCCTAGTTTCTCTTAGAGATTTTCAAAGCTAAGTCTACAACCTTCTTTGATTTCTCCTGACAGGTCCAAGGAATGTCCTAACCACAATCTTCTGGATGCCAGTTAATTCTGATGGAGGCTGGGGGTGGCAGTTCTTCTACTTTGCCTGTGTGACCTTGGGCAAGTTGCTCTCCATTCCTGTGCCTCAGTCACTGTGTCTAGACGTCCTGAGAGCCCTCCTAGCTTTTGGTTCTCGATCCTTCGAGCTTGTGAGCAATAGGGGCAGAGAGAGAGACAGAGAAATGGACGTGCAGTCAGGAAGCCTCAGAGGGGACCTTAGGCGAATCCGTTCACCTCCTCATTCGTATAACGGGGGTAATGACAGTACCTGCCTCACAAGGTTGTGGGAATCAAATGAGATAATGTGCCCATATAGCTCTCTCTGCACATCTGAAGAGTTCTAGGTCAGCGTCATTCTTCTGTCTAACCTCAACCTTAACTGTGATATTCTCAGCCTATCTTGCCCCTCTGATATCACTGCTAAAGTTGGAAGCTGGGGCCTCTCATTTTCCTGGGTTACAGCTCAGCTTCCAGGGCCATATAGTTAAGCAAGCTTAAGCCCTATCAAGAACCAAGTAAAAATCACAGCAATGGTCCCAAGAGGATATTGAACTTTGGGCAGTGTTTCTCTCATAACCATCAAGTGGAGGGATGGCAGAAGGCTGAATGTGGCTCCTTGAGCTGCATCTGAGGGAATGGGGCCAAGGAGCCAGTACTGGCAGATTCTGGGCAGAAGCCTCAGCCAGTTCTGGGAGCACTAAATGGAAAAGACACATGGTAAGGAAAGGCAGCCTGGTTACTCTTTTAATTGAGTTCTCTCTATCCAATCCCCTTGGCTATTTGGGTGACTCCCCATTCGCTTCTGTGGTTTCCATCAAATCTCTTACCAGAAGAGAGATTCTCCTCCCCTGCTCAAGAGCTTTCTATGGTCAGCTAAAGTGTTCTTCCTATGAAGAACTAGCTTGGAAAAGGGAGATGGGGAAAAAAGACTGGGGCAAAATTGGTAGTGCAGGTGAACTTCAACGTTAGTTTCAAACCCTAAGTAATCAATGCTCCTGAGAAAAGGGTCAGCATCAATTTTCTAGTTGGGAAACGCACAAGATGGAAGATGAAAAGTGAGGCCCTTTAATTATCTCAGAACCAGATCAGGGCTTGAAAACACCTACTCTACTAAACCTCTCTTCACCAACATAACTGTGATTGAGTCAGGTGGTCAATAAGGCAGCAGCTGAACTCTCCAGCCCATTTCACTTGACAGTCTCTTCCCGCTTCAGCCTATTTGTATTGGAATGTAAGTTTATGGCTCAGGCCTTGGAGGGGGCTTACACCTTGGGGCAGAAGAGAAGTGGAGCTGGAGATTTTCTCTTAACCATGTTAATTCAACAGGCTATAGGGCATGGACATATCAGATAAGGAGACAAGAACACAAATGCCCAGGAATATGGCATTACTACTATTAATAAATGCCTTAGATTACAGACCCCCAAATGTTTTACAAACAAGGTAGGTCTGATTCTGTTTCTCATCCAGTCCCTGCTATTAAACTATCACAGAGCTGACTTGTACAAAGTAGATCAATGTGCCTAAGATTATTCTGGGGGGCCAAATAAGGAAGTTACAAACTGAACCCCGGAGTCTTACCTCCCCATAGCTTTCTGTCCCATGCTCCTTAGTTATGCTGGCTACCTTTCAGTGTTTCACACATGCTGCACTCTTATGTAGTCAACAAAACGATTCTTCTAGTGAGCCACAGATGAGTTAAACAATTTTGTCCTGGATCAGGACAGAGACAGATACTTCTCCAGTAGCTTTAAAGCAACAAACCTAAAATTAAATAGGCCATATCAAATTTTCCCACAACCTCATCCATACTGACCTGTCAGTCCATTCAGGGTCTGTTCTTCTGAACTGAGGAAGTAGAAGCAAATAAGCATTTATAGACACCTACCATGTACTAAGCATATCTCATTTGATACTAGATATCTAGACACTAGACATAAATATCTCATTTGATACTAGAAACAACCTTGAAAGGTAGTGATTTGTTCAGGGTCACACAGCTCAGTAGGTATATGAAGCCACATTTGAACTCAGGTCTTCCTGATTCCAGGCCTAGTGCTCTATCCACCAGCTGCCCTTACAACAAAGTGAAGCCTAAAGAGACTTCTCCAAAATTTCTCAGCCTTTCTAAGTGTATCTACCCCAAGACTGGGCTCAAAGGTTGCTGCTGACACTTGGAAATCACCTCTAGTTTGGCTCTCACCATTCCCCAGCCTTTTAGGGAAGCATATTTTCTTCTGCCCAGGAAAATCAGAAGCATCTTCCCAATATATTTATTGTGTAGTTCATGACTTTTTTGATCTTAAAATAAGAGAGGATTAGCTAGGTGGGGGAGAATATGACAGAGGGTATCAAGCACATACACTGAAACTGGATTTAGGTGTGGGGACTATCCAACCCAATCCTTCAGGCCCTGAGAAACTGAGAGGAATTCAAACTGGAATTCCTCAGCAGAGGTCATCACTGTTAGATCTCTTCTCTCTACCATGAGTTAATGCTATGTCAACTTTAAGCTGCTTTGGGGGTGGGAGTGGTGTGTGTGTGTGGGGGGGTGAGTTACAAGGGCCATAGAGAAGGGGAGGTGGGAGCTTAAGGATTGGGTTGGCCAAAGGAGAATCTAAAAAGTATTTTGGAAAGGATAAACGGGGTCGGGGCGGGGGGAGTTACCAAAATCCAGTGATGTAAGGCCACAATTCACAACCCTGGGGTGAAAGCCCAGTGACAGGGGGATAAAAACAACTTAAGAGGAGGGGGGACTAAGGGTCATCAGAGTGGGGAAGGGTCAAGAGTAAAGAGGAAGGGGCAAGCAAGTACGGGACCATAAAGGAAGGAGGACATGGGATGGAAGGAGCACAAGATGGCAAGGAAGAAAATAAGTGGGTGGGGGTGGGTTCAAGATGAGGAAAGAGGTCTGGGGGAAACCCTGGAGTTAGGGGGAGGAGCTAAGCAGAGGAGGAAGGCAAAGTACTTGGGAGGATCCCAAGCTTGGGGGGAAAGTTGAGAGGGAACCTGATATGCAGGTGTTCCCAGGGGCAGGGGGGGCAAGTTTTGTAGTCGGACCGGGGGTGGGGAAGGAGGGTGGGGGGAGCTCGGAGGGGGAAAGAGGAACCCTGGAGTAGGTGAAGGGGGGGAGGGGCGCCTTACCTCTGGGGACCCCCCGCGGAGGGGACGAGGTGTGGGATCGGTGTCGGGCCGCCGGCGCCGCCGGCTCAGCAGCAGCAGCCGCTCGCGGACTCCATCGGCCGCCTCCGCTTCCCTGACAGCAGCGGCTGCGGCGGCTGCAGCGGCGGCGGCGGCTGCACCAGGCCCCGGCTGCGGGGCTGCCCTCGGCACTGCCTGCGGGGGCCTTTGAGCCGCCTAGACTCGGGCCAGCCAGCACAACTTCTCCCCACGACCGAAACAGACAAACAAAAAGTCTTCCCCCACGCCGGATTCCGACGTGTGGTATCAGCTTCACAGTCCGAATCCTCCCTCCCTGGGATTTTCCTCCGCGCGTCCCCGGTGCTCAGGACCCCACTGAGCCCATGGTAACCTATGGAGTCGACTGAGGTGTCTAATGCATGCCTACCCAGAAATAGAAAAGGGGGTGTGTGTGGGTGGGAGGGCAGAGTAGGCTACCTTAGGCCAAAGAGGCGGGGCCAGGGGTGGGCGGGGCGTCCAACTAAAGGGGCGGGGCCAGTCTTCTGGGACCGAGCGAGCTTTGCGAGACTCTAAGGGAGCCGAGAAGGAATTTCAGGAAGTCAGGGGGTAGGGGCTGGGCTTGTGATGGCGGTGGACAGAAACAGTCCTGGGGCTCTGTGCGAGAAAGGAGTAGGGAGTGGGGTCAGGTGTGCTTTGGCATTAAATGATTATGCAAACTAAATGTAAACGAGGACCAGAGATTTCGGAGGCAGTGACTGCTCATTCGTTGAATGCCTCTTCTCTCGCATCCCGACTCGCTCTGGGGGAAGTCAATTCCTGGTCCGTTTTGGGGGCCGGTGGCCCAGCAGAGGTATCTTTAAATAGCCCCTAGTTGTGGAGGAGGGGGACGGCGAAGTGCACAAACGTTCCCCCTGGAAGGGTCGGGCTGCGGGCTCGAACCTTCTCCGAGCAGAGAAAGAGGCGTTTCCGGAGGCGCCGTTACCGGACCTCCCGCGAGGCGTCCGTTTCCCGCGCTTTTATCCGCCATCCCCGTAGAGGTGCTTTCCTTCCCTTACCCCCCGAGTAGAGGAGCCTTCAGCTCCCAGACGTAGTCGTCGGGCGCCAGGCCGGACCCCAGCCCAGGCCCTGCTCACTGTCCCTTCGCCCCCCGCCCCACCTGGCAGCCTGCCCAGGGTGAGTGAGGGGAGGGGCGGGGCGCTCCGCCTGTAGGCTGTGGGAGAGTCACGTGATGCCGGCTCCACTCATTTCCCCCCCACCAAACCCTCTTGCAGCTCCTCTGTTGTAGCCTTCGGGGCGCGACCGTCCTATAGAGCTCGGGTTCACCTGCCGTGGCCCCCGCTTTCGGTAGCACCTTTCTCTGACCCCAGCCCCAGGAGGTGGGCGGGGCAAGCCCTGTCACCTCCCTTTCCCAGGTAAGCTGGGACTGCGGGTGCCTGAGGTCCCCCAGCCACCTCTTCGGCTATGGGGGACTTCCTCTCCCCCAACCCCACCCCGCCCTGCGTCTCTCCTCCAGGAACTGAGGTTCTTGTCCCATCCCGTACCCCCCTGCTGGGAGCCCCTTGAGGGCAGGTGGGGACTGGCAGGTATCCGACTCTGCAGCCAGAGCTCCGTAGCTCGCATCGGTCAGGGATTTGTCAGTTGAGACCTCTCACGTGGGTATCTGTACACAGACATACACGTGCTTAGCCACACTTATGGGCATGCACACGGACGCCCTTGAGGTTCTCTGCCACCCGACTTCACAAATCGGCACACAGGCCCAGACGGGAAAGGGGGGTTGCCTGATGTCACCCAGTGGCAGCGACACAGAGCCCTGGACTTAGGAAGACCCGATACCGAATGACACCACCCCCCCACCCCAACCCCGGTCAAGGTACTTGACTTTCCTCGTCTGTAAACCTCACTGAGTGGTTGTGAGGTTCGGATTGCAATCGCTAGCTATTAATATCATTAATGGGACCTCTACTGAGTTTTGGAGTTACAAATTCGGGTCTTCCAAGTCTGGTGTCCCCAACAGCTTTCCATGATAGTACAGTGCTTCACAGGAGGAATTCCTTATCCGTCTTTGAATCTGTCCACTAGATGTGGAGGGAAATACAGAAGAAACAAAATATGGGATCACTTCCTTCTGGTCTAGTGGGGTACTTACCTCCCCCTGACTTCTGTGACATTTGTATCACTCTCCTGATTTTCTTTCTACCTTTGGGCCAGAGCTGGCCCTGTTTCCTTCTTTTGTTATTGTTCGGTAGTGCTCCACTCTTCCTGATTCCATTTGGGGTTTTCTTGGCAAAGATACTGGAGTGGCTTGTCATTTCCTTCTCCAGCATTTGACTGATGAGGAGACGGAGGGGAGGCAAACAGTGCTAAATGACTTGTTCAGGGTCACACAGCTAATGAGTGTCTGAGGTCACATTTGAACTGGGTCCTCTCAACTCCAGGACTGGTGTTCTATCCACTTTGCCACCTAGCTGCCACTGTTTCTTTCAATATCCTTTAAATCTCTGTCATTTTCTCCTCTGGTAACTTGGTCCAGGGCTTCTAAATATGTGTGTGTGTGTGTGTGTGTGTGTGTGTGTGTGTGTGTCGAGTGCGCAAGAGCTCCTTTGGCAGCCTGGTGAAACCTATGGAGCCCTCCTCAGAATAATAGTCTTAAATACATAAAATATGTAGGATTACAAAAGAAACCAATTAAATTAAAATAAAGTTATCAAAATATTTTAAGAGTTCAGGTTCAGAACCCCAGATCTAGCTTGTCAATACTGGTTTAACCATCACGTTGATGTGGAAAGGGAACATCCAAATCTTTTTCTTGTTCCAGCCCTTATTTGGAGTTCTAGACCTGTTTTCAACTCCCTGGTTGTTTTCATGGCACCTCAAACCCAACATCTGAAATTGAATTCCTTCCCCTGACTTTCCCACATTGTTAATGGTACTGCCACTTTAAGGCATGTTTAATTCAACATTTATTCAGTGTATACTATATGAAATGCCCTGTGCTAGGCGCTGAGGAGACAAACAAAAAATGAAACCATCCCTGCTGTCAAAGACTTTATATTCTGTTTGTGGCTGGGGGAAAAACATATATATATATATATATATATATATATATATATATATATATATATATATATATATGTATATATATGTATATATATATATATATGTATATATAATATATATATATGTATATATATATGTATATATATATATATACACACACACATACATATGTATTTATGTATGTATGTATATATACACACATAAATATATATATATATATATACACACACACACACAAATATAAGGTAAATATATACCAAGTAAATAGAAGGTAATTTCAGGAGGGGGATGAGAAAAAGACCTCATGTAGCAGGGTGCACTTGAATCATGCTTTGGAGGATTCTAAGAGGCAAAGGTGAGGAGATGACACATTGCAGACATGGAGGACAGCCTGGGCAAAGGCAGAGAGGTAGGAGATGCAATGTTGCGTATGGGAACACCTGATAAGCCAGTTTTACTGCAATGAAAATGCATGAAAGGGAATAATATGAAAGTAAACCTGGAAAGGCACATAGGAGCCTCATTGTAGAGGTTTTGAAATAAAAGAGGCAACATGGTGCAGTGGAAAGAGTTTTGGATTTAGAGTTGGAGGACCTGGATTTGAATCCTGGCTCTTGCCATGTGACCTTGGGCAAGTCACTTAACCTGTATAGGTCTCAGTTTCCTCTTCTATAAAATGGAGAGGTTGAACTAGATGACAGTAAATGCTCCTTCCAATTCTGTGAGATGCCAGACTGAGAATTTTGTGTTTTACCCTAGAGGTAATGGGGACCCACTAAAGATCCTTGAGCAGGGGAACTCTAGAGCTGAGACCTGTGCTTGAGGAAGATTATTTTGAAAGTATACATGGGAAAAGGGAGAAACCAGATCTTCCTCTTGTCAACTTTCTTTCATTGGGCCTGGTTCTTTCTTTTAAGTCATCTGACAAGTGAAATTCCTCTTCTATGTAATAGTCTTTAAATATTTGATTTTTCAAAAATTAAATTTTATTTTTTTAATTAATGAAAAGTCATCTTCTTTCCACCTCCCCCTTTACCCCCATTGAAAAAGAAAACAAATGTCTATCTGTCTGTCTATCTCTTGTCTGTCTGTATACAGGCAAACTAACTTCCAGTATTGACAACCAGTTTCAAATACTTGAAGACAACTATCATCACACCTCCCTTAAATCTCTCTTCCAAGCTAAATATTCCCCAGTTCTTCAACTGCTTCTTCTCTCAATGATACTTGAGAACTTTTACCATCCTGGTCATCATCTTCTGGAATCCCTTCACTTTATCGATTCCTTCTCCAACTATCCTCCACACAGCTGCCAGGCTGATATTTCTAATGCATAGGGCTGGCCATGCCACTCTCATTGGCTGGTACCTGATATTTGCTCCCAACTGTTGGTGAATGGCCTGTAGTCTGGAAGACACAAATCTGACAGAAAAGACTGCAAGGCCCAGATATAAAGCAGGGACTAGATTTAGGGCCCAACTTTGAGAAGGTAAAACATCCTTAGCTCTGTTTGGATTCAGATAATTCAGTTTTCCAACCATGCAGTATCAAATCCACCTCTTAGTCAGACTCAGGAATAGCCAGGTGGGTAATATTCCCTTTCAAAGGAACATAATGAGGGGCAGCTAGGTGGTGCAGAGGACAGAGCGCCGGCCCTGAAGTCAGCAGTACCTGAGTTCAAATACGGCCTTAGACCAAACACTTAACACTTACAAGCTGTGTGACCTTGGGCAAGTCATGTAACCCCAATTGCCAATAAAAAAAAAGATGTATTCAAAGGAACAAAATGGGGAAACTGAGCCAGGAGAATCCCATCTTAGGCTGAGGCTAAAATTGTCATTTCAGATTTTTCCAGTGATGAGGTCTAGAGGTTGGGGGTCCTGGAATCCCAAAATCGCAACACACAGCTCCTGTCGGAAAGAATTCCACCCAAACCTTTCAGCCAAAAACAAGGTTTATTGAAGATTCACCATATTAGCTGGACTCTGAAGGAATCTGAGCATCTATGGGCTATTGGCTAGACTGTGAAAATCTGTGCAGTGGCTAGATTATAAGAATCAGAACAGTGGCTAGATTATAAAAAGGCTAGATTATAAGAATCCCAGCATCTTAGTGGAGACAAGATGGACCTTACATGCAGAAAGCCTGTGGGAAGGATCTAGGAGTGGCCAAGTAGTTTGTGGTGACTGGAGGAGGGGTCTAAGAAGATCTGGATGGGAGTGGCCAGTAAGTTGGGGTGAACAGAACTCCTGGGACCTGGACATGTGGCCAAGGGAGAGCAGAGCCTAGCTAGGATTAAGGGTGGGAAATGGCCAAGGGCCATACAGAGAGAGGTAAGAC